GAGCTGTATTATAATGCTGAGCAACAGTACCGGTGCTGGTGCGTAAAACCACAGTTTATAGCTGTACAGACACAGGTCAGATGTGTGGAGTTTTTAGGATTAACGGTTTTAGGACAGTCATATTGGTTAGGATTGGGGAAGGTTGAGTTTAAGGAAAAGGTTGTCTCAAAATTGAATTAAGATGAAGTGCAGCATCAGGGAGGGTACATGTGAAATATCCAAATAACCATTGATTAATTTTAAAAACCTTGTATTTTGGTGATAGACCAAACAAAAGGTTTCAGCACAAAAGTGGGATTTTTTTTTTTTTTTTTTTGGAAGTTGAGAGCACCAGAAATGGAGCATTTATGAAGAAAGCAATAAATTGAGAGCAGGACATTTAAGATGACCACACAGATACATGTGGGACCTAGCTAAATCTGTCTGTAGATCCTGCAGACCTCTTCCATTCCTAGTGCAGATCCCCATGACAGTCTTTACCTGCCAGGTGGTGATGCTTTAAGACATAATAGGGGACTGTGTTACAAGCTCTCCTATTATTTAGACTTCATTACTTCTCCAAAATATATTCAAATACATTTACAACTATGCTTAAAAGTATTAGCATAAATAATGAAAACTGAATTGCACACAAAAATAAATGAACCAAGTCTGTTTGGGGAGGCTATATCTTCAGTTATTTCTTATTGTGTTTGTTCATTTAATGAATTTTGCCAATTAGCAATTAATTTGCAGTAGGTCTCCTAGTCATTAGTGTGAATTAGCAAGGTTTTGTTGGTGGAATGTCTCGAACATTAAATAAAAATCCTGTATCATTCAAAACTTCAATGGTACTCCGCAGTGAGACCCTCTATAGAAATCGAACTGGCTCAGGGCCACCCCCCAGTTTCTCAACCCCTGCCATGAAAGTGCGGTGGATGCTCTGTTCATCAATTTAAGCTGCACGGCCCAATTCTAGAGCAATGCCCTCCTCCTTCAGGGGAGAGCAGACCCGGTCAGTACTGGTGTACTCCGTGCCTCTCAGGCCAAGTGCATGCCAGCAGAGGCTGTGTATCCCAGGATCAGGCAAGGTTCTTCTCTGCATAGGTAGGCTCTGGTACTGTGGCTTCATGGTGTTGGTTCACTCAATTTTCTGTAGCTCTTTATTTATTTTTCTCTTGGTACACGTAGTTCATGTGTTTAATGCAGGTTGTTTATAGCAAGGACAAAGGATTACAGTCCTTAAATCAAAAGCGATGTTGGTGTAATTATAAGCGCGGGCTGGTGTTGCAAAGAGGGCTGTAGGGAGAGGCTGTCAAAGGAGAAGAGCATCCAAAATATAATAACCTCAAAAATCTCAGCTAATCAGTTTTCTGATGGGAGCAATATGTTTCCCAGTTATTATTATTATATGGGGACTTTAAAGATAATAAATAACAATAATAGTCTAGTATAAGGAAGGAAAGAAAAGGGCAAATGCCATTCACCTCGGAAGCTGTGGTTGCTCACTGGAGTTCTCTGAGGAACATAATTTTCCTCAGCCCCTGCAGACGACTTGATCCATGACAACACCAAGAACATCCCAGGAGCTGTGGTGTAAGCAAGGAGGTTGCCCTGAGTGGTGTTTTCATTGACGCAGAGGTACAGCCTGCAGAAACCACATATCCCAGCGCACACATCTCGAGCCAGAGAGCACAGAGAACAGGGACCTGTGGATTGCCTCATTCCTCGGGAATGAGGGCAGGTGCTACACCACTTCCAGCACTGGTGCATCTCTGGACATCTACTTAAAAGACCAAAACAAAGAAGGGCTTGCTGAAGTAAGCTTGGGCTTCTCAGGGCTGTACAGGGCATGAAGGCTTCTCGCCTGCAACAAGGCAGCCCAGCTAACGGACCCTGGCTAACAGATTATCAGCAGCATTTGAGTAATAGACTGCTCATTTAGTTTTAATACATTTTGCATAGAGAGCAATCAGCCTTCATCAGTCTTAGAGATGAATTGGCTTAGCCAGCTAAATTCTAAAGATATTAGTCCGACAGCAGCCACATAAATCATAACATTTTCTTAATGATGGTAAAATTAAAATATACTCTTGCTTTGAGAAACCAATGAAGCCTTCCTGTTTGCAGGCCAGATCCTCCTGCCTGAATTAAAAGGAAGCTTAATTGATGTGTTTTTAAACTAAACTCACAGCCCCACTCCTCCTGAGCATCTCTAGTGTTCCTTTCTTTAAAGTTAAATTAATTTGTCCTGCCTCTCTAATCTTCAGGAGTGTCAGTGAAGACCTTGGCTCGGTTTTCATTGACCAGACTCCTGTGGGACGTGAGCAGGACATACACAACATCACAGTTGAAGGCTTTGCCAGGTTAATCGTTTATGTTGCCAGTAGTTCCTTGAGCTAGTGGAAGCCTCCCAGGGGAAAAGCTTGTGCTCTTCGTCTAACCAACAAACCAAGACCTTCTGCCTAGCCAAGCATAAACTTTTCTTGTTTCTTGTCCTTTGTTCCTGAAGCTGGCTTGAAGTCCAGTGTGCTTTTGCCAGCTGGTGTTTAACAGAAGGGAATGCTGCCTTTAGCTAGAAAGACCGTGATGTTGGTGTTAGGGGCAGGGGTGAAGACAGACTCTCAGGGCTGTAATAATCACACAAGTATTGTGTGTCCAGAGCTCTTCAATAAGGAGATGCTGGGCTCTGTTAACTCTTTGTGTCCTACAAGTTAAGGATAGCACAGTCTGACTAGGTCAGCCCATAAATCCCCCAGCTGAGGCAGAGCTGGGTACATTGCCCATCTTAAATGTTCTGTGTGATTCCCTGTGGGGCAGAACAGTTCTCTGGACTGAGGCCTCTTGCTGTCAGGAATTTCTTCCCGATGCTCCAGGCTAACCATTCTGTCTCCTGCTAAGCTGTGCTACATGACCTTTCCTTCTTTGGCATCCTGCTGCTAGCTGCAGCATGGCACCCACTAAATAAACAGAACCATCTCCTGTCCCACAGCTCTGGGCTGCCTTATCTTAGGGCTCTACCCTGTCCTGCTGCTTTTCAGCAGAGCCTGTGCAGGTAGTCTGTGCAGCAGAGCTCCTGGGAAAACCTATTTTAGTAAGATTCTGCTCAGGTTAAGACTCTGGACCAAAGATTTGACTGAAATCCAAATACCCGATACCTTTGGCAGCCTTTCTTCTGCTAAAACAATCATTTTATGGTCAACTGTAAAGATTCAGTCTCTGAAGTATGAAATTCACTGCTATGCAGAAACCCCAGTTCTAAGCCAAAGACCCTCAGGATATAAAAAAGGGCAGAGGAGTCATCTAGTCCTTACCTGTGCTGGCTGTTTGCACGAGGGCGGGTTTTCCTTTTTCCCTAGTGCTCCTTTGGGTCCTCTGGATCAGGTTGGTTTCTTAGAAATCCTCCCCTGATAGTCCTCTTGGTCCTTTGCTGGGGTCTTAATTGTGGTGGTAATATCTAGCAAAAGGACTAGGTGCTTCTTAGCATATACAGTGAAAGGCCCATTCCCCTGGGGTGCTTGGTGGCATCCGTACTCTGGCTTCTTGGCTGAAATGATGTGGTGGAGAAGGCAGGTTTTCCCAGCAGGTCCTGCATCACAGTTATGGAGCTGCTGATGGGACATATTCAGCCATAATTGAGTTAAGGTTAGCGCTTTCACCATTTGAGTATGTGCGTGCAGTGCTCCTGCCTTCAAAGGAATTAAGAAGTTCCAGGTGGTGTCTCTTGTTGTCACTTTTGTGTTGGGGCAGTGAACACTGTGGAAAAGATGGGCCTAATTTGGGAGACTGACATTGGGCTGTCTGTTTTGGGGAACTTCAGCCTGTGGCTTATGGGAAGTAAGGTGACCATGGGGCCCTCCGGTGAGCTCACCTCAGAGGCTGGTTTTAGGGTGGAGTAAAGAATGGCTCTTCCTTCAGGTCATTCGCAGCCCAGCGTTCCAGGCTCATGGTTGGTTTGGCCAAGGTTGGGGGCCACTGGTCAGTAAGTGGTGTGCAGGATGGCTGCAGGATGCTCTCAGCTCTTGGCTATTCAATGCCCTGCTGGGCAGCTTGAGCTGGTGATGGTGATCTCTGGGAGAAGGTGTGAGCTCACCTTCCCAGAGTTGGGTATGGAGGGACAGCCTATGACTGAGTGCAGTAAGGTGTTTGACACTGTGGTGTTGAGGATTGTTTCTTTCCTGGTCTGTCTTCTAGCATTGTTGAGGAAGGAAAGTGCTTTCATTCGTTCGTGGATATATCCGCAGGGCTTGGAAACGTGTTCTCCCTGCCATACTGTGCCAGCTGCATTTGTGCTGCTTGTAATGTAATAAATGCTTGGTCTGAGCAGCTAGCACTCCTGCTAGAGCCCAAATGAACGCAGAGGAAGGACCCTGCTAAGTGTATGCATTCTTCCTCTCCTGGCCAGCTCCGATTCCCTTTCATAGCTCACATCTGATGCTTCCTCTCTCACCTAGCCCCTTAGCTCCGATGTAAATGTGTGTTCACACTTCCGCCAGTCAAGTAACTGTGCTCTCTCTGTCTCTCCCCTTTGTTATAAAGCCTGCTCTGTAAATGAATCCCACAGGTCTGGGGCTCAGCAGGTAAAAGGAGAAGTGAGTCTGTTAGCGCATGAGTCTAATCAGGCCGGCTAAAGTGAATAAAGTAGGGCAGCATTGCACATTAGCCGCTGTGTAAATGAGCCCTTTGATGGGCTGGGCACTGCGGGAGAGGGTTTGAAGCCAAGAAGAACTTTTGTTGTTAATTCACTGACACATGGAAACTGTAAAACAGCGTGTCTTGCACACACACGAGAGAGAAAATAAAAGCCCTCACGACCGGGCTCTTCAATACCTGCCCTCGGACCTAGTCTGAAAACTTTCAGCCCCTGTCTCCCTCTCTTGCCACTTGATTTTCCTTTCTCTCCCTTTCTTTTTTTGTTCCCCCTGCACTATAAAAAGAAAAGCTCTTTTGCCTTTTGAACTAGACGGCTGTGAGTGAGGGCTATCTCTGAGCTGTGTGGCTCTGTTACCTTTGTGTTCCAGATGAAACTGCCAAGCTCGGTGGGACAGAAGAAGATTAAAGCCCTGGAGCAGATGCTGATGGAACTCGGAGTAGGTGAGTAAAGGGGGCACGCACGAGAGAAAGAGACACACAGAGCTAGCCTTTGTTCTCGAGATGGGCTATTTTTTCCCCTAGTAATACAGCCAGTTTCTTGAATAACAGTATGTGAATGGTTTTTAAAATATTTTATGTGTTTTAAAAAAAAAATAGAGAGAGGGTAAAAGCCAGAACAAGATGCACAGTTGTTTTTTTTTTTCCTCCCAGTAGAAAAATGTTTTAAAAGAGCCTTTGTTTCTCTCTTGTTTGGGCCTTTTTAACCATCAAGAGAGGCAGCACAGCGTTAGGAAGGCAAATCTCAGCCTTGCCAGGAGAGGTACTTCTAAGTGTGTTAGTGACCACGGCACATGCATTGTTCAGGGCTGCCCTGTCTTGCTTTCAAGCTTCGTTTCCTCTTAATTTACTGCTCACGGTGGCAAGTCCAAAAGGCATCTGGGACTGTTCATCCCCCCTTTATATGTTGCATGCTGTGTGAAAATCTGGAGCATCTCTGCTAAAAGGCGAGTAAACACACATCCCTCACTCTTGAACTCCAGTGTCTTAGCAGCAGAAAGAAGGGTTCACTTAACATGTACAATACCCGCTCGTAGCTAGAGGGGAGGAAGTGCAGCCCATGGCTAGCTGCTGCCCTCCATGCAGTGGGTACAGTTTGCAGGTACTACAGGTCCCAGCATGCAGTGCCCCTTGATTAGATACCTGATGATCCCTTTTCCCCCCCACTGTGGCTGGAGGGATTTTTAAAAATAGAAGAAAAGAAGAAGGGAAAAAAGAGCCTTATTGGTGATTTACAAGAGATTACTGAGCCTGTTCCCAGCGCTGACTTTTGTTAACTCTTGTTAGTTTTTTGGGCCAACTGGTTTATGGCTTGATATGTTGTCTCAGAGACTGTGTGCAGTTCTGAAGGCCTCCCGTGGCTGGTGAAAGTGGCTCAATCAGGGTAGTTTCCCCTTTCTGCTTTAAAACTAAGGGAGTTACCGTCTTTGCTTGCTAGGGAAGCCTTGGGGAAGTGCTTCTTAGAGTTCACTTTCCATGAGGGTAAGGAGGGATTCCTGACTCCCCACTGCTGCCTTAAAAACACACGTATCTTGAGGGCCTCCTGGTGCTCCAGCCCTGCTGGGCCTTAGAGTGCAGAAACACACCTGGGCTTTGTGTGGGTGAACACGGTGCTAGCAGGAACGGCTCATGTGGGCAGCCCTGCGACAGAGGGCCACTGCTGTGTATCAGGACAAACAACACAGAGCTTCATCCTTTTCTTCTCCAGAACATACAGCTCATCCTGGCTCTGTGTGCATGTGTGGTGGGCTGCAGCAGAATGCATGGTGTGACGAGGTGATCTGCCAGCCCCTGCTGCAAGCAGGTCAGGTCTGCATTAAAACATGTCTGTAACACAGCAGCAGAGGAATTCTCTGCCTCAGTTGTAACCTGGGAGGAGCAACAAGAGAGGCAAGGGAGCTCAGCCTGTCCACCCCTTGTTGGTGAAGGTGTAGGGGACAGCAGGAGCTCTTCTGTCCTCTGCAGCAGTGTGTGAGGACTTGCTCCCAAGACTGAGCTCCCTTGATATGACCTGATGGGTAGCAAGGTTCAGTTGTATGGTTTGATCTGCATCTTCCATCATCCTTCACTTGCTGAGTCCTGGACTTTGCAGGTTCACCCTTAGTCCTTGGCCAGAGCCAAAGGACAGCCTGCAAATTGAGGTCTCCAGCCCTTAGGGATTCCAGTTGCTAATGATCCATGTGTTGGGACTGAGGCTCCTGGTGTATCTTTGTGGGAGTGAATGGGCAGCCAAGACCTTTCTAGGGATCTTCCATTGTAGGGTTGCAGGTCTGGGTGTTTAACAGAACCCCTTTTTCTCCCTAGATCTCAACCCTATGCCCACAGAGGAGATCGTGCAGATGTTCAATGAGCTGCGGAGTGACCTGGTGCTGCTGTATGAGCTGAAGCAAGCCTTTGCCAACTGCGAATATGAGCTGCAGATGTTACGGCACCGCTATGAGGCCCTGGCCAAAGCTGGTAGTATTGGCCCCCTCAGTGCGGAAGGCGCCCACCCAGATGCCCAGGCAGGGCTCGGCATTGAGGAGGGCAAAGGAGATGCCAAGGACCAGATCATTGATGTAGTAGGAGCACCACTGACCCCCAACTCGGTGAGAAGGAAGGTTGGGGGGGCAGAACAGGGAGCACTCAGGTCTCCGACGCAGATGCCCTGACAAGCGCTGGGGATGCTGCCCTGCTCTCCTTCCAGGCGTGCGCGTCCAAGGGAGCACAGCGCGCCTGTTCCCCCCAAGTCCCAGTGCTGCTCTCTGGGCTTGTCTTCTGTGCTGGACAGTGTTCTTGGTGCTATAGGTGGGGTCAGCAGGGCTTTCGACATCCTGCATGCAGGCAGATGGCTTGACGTGGGTGCCACCGTGGACCAAAGCAGCAAGGCTTTGGGTGACGAGAGCTTGCACTAGGGCAGCAACAGTGATGCCAGTACAGCTGCAGGCCTAAGGCATTTTCCTTCTAGACACAGCCCCGTAAGGGTTGCTCAGCAGAGGGAAGCGAGTGGGGAAAGCAGTCTTGAGATGATGAGCCATGACCTGCACAAGTCCCTGGAGTCAGGCAGTAGCCCTGCCTGGAGCAAGAGGCTCAGGAAGGAGAGAGGTGTTTGAAGAGCAAAGGCGTGTTTTTATACCCTACTTCCAGTGCCGAGAAAGGAAAGCTAGACCTAGGGGCCCTGTGACAATGTCCTGTGCATGTACCTCTACAGGATGCGAATCACCAGCCTCTCCTCCCTGCCTCCATGAGGGCAGGCTGCCCAGCCCCTCACCACTGCTTCAGGGCCAAGGGTATGCCTGGGGATCAGCTGAGGTTGCTTTCCCCTCTGTGCAGTCCCCTGGCACAGCTGAGCTGAACTGCCTGATAAAAGCTGCCCGTCTCTACACAGTGGCATCCCCGACACCTCAGACATACTGCCCCTGGTAGTGGCACAGACCTTTCCTTTCTAAAATGTATAATGTATTGCAGGATATTGAGAACACCTTATCTGTCAATGACAGAGGCGACACGTTAATCTGGACTTGAGTAATGTCGTATTTGATTGTGACAATATGGAGTCATAAGGAAGCGTTCCACTGAGACAGGTTCATGTTTGCAAAGGAGTCTTCTGAATTTTTTTTTTCCCTATTGCATTCAATCTGAAATATCACCCCTCCCTGCAGTCTGGAGCATCCTGGTTGGCAGACTTTTCGGGCTGATTCACAACCCACTTGCTCTTCCTTGAGACTTTGCTTGTTGGGAAGGTGGGAGAGGTGGTGATGGTGGTGGGGGTGGCCATGGCTGCAGGAGGAGGGAGCCCATATTTGTGTTTCTGACCACGTTGTTCTTCAGTGCCACCTCCTGGAATTGGAAACAAAAGGGTGGGCCCAGGCAGCACAGAGAGGGTTAAACTGACCTGGTCTCTGACATATTTGAAAGAAATATAATCAAGTTAATTCACTGCAAGGCAAATTCAGTACCTAAAGGGCCCCCATGTTAAATACAGCACTGACCTTTACCGGCTGATTACACAAAGACGACACAATTAGATTAGTCCAAGACAAAAGGTCAAGCACATTCACACTGTGACCATTTTATGCTACCTTTTGAGGGGGGGAAAAATTACATCCCAGCTGGAGGGGTGTCTTGGAGAGGAGGGAAATGGGGCTGCTGTACCACGTTCTGCCTGGCTCGGGTATGTCTGGAGAGTCAGGCAGGGCCTGGCATTGTGCTTGCCCTGAACCTTTCCTGTGGTTCTGGGCAATGTGGCCATGGGCGAGACCAGCAGCCTGTGGCCCACAACCAGCTTTTCCAAGGATGGGCTGCATTGAGTGGAGGCCATGCATTGGTGATGCTTCCTGCCCAGAGCTGGCAGGAGCAGCCGCAGTGCCTCTCGCTCAGTGTCGTGGCTAAAATTGGCCTCTGGAAGATCAGCAGGCTGAGGTCAGCTCTGAGAAGGGGGGTGGCTGGAGCAGTCGCTGGCTGTTCAGCTGGTGGGGTGCATGCATGTGTCCCCACCCTGCACAGTGATAACCCTGAGGTGTCACAGGCCCTGGTGCGATGGGGACAGCGTGGGAGGCAGTGGGCTCAGGACATGGTGCTGAGAAAGCAGCCTGCCTCTGCAAGCACAGTGCTTTTCCCCCACCCTGGGGCGCTTGCAGTGGAGGTAGCATATTGGTAGTGCAAACAAGCAGCTCTCTGTAGAGCAAGTGCAGCGGTTCTTTGTAGTGGCCTTTCCCTTCCTCACCTCCTGCAGCCCTGGCTGTGGGCGCTTGCGGGTTGACAACCTGCCCTTCCCTGAGGCTGCTTCAGGGGTTTAACCCTGCCACACCAGCCTTGAACTCCTGAGTTCAAGTGTGTGCTTTGCCACTGAGCTGCCGGGGGTCCTTGGGGGAATCATTTAATCTCCCTGCTTCAGATTCCTCTGAGTTGGAGAATCCTTTTGTGCTGTCTAGCACTGCCCATCCATGGCACTCCACATGTTGGATTAAGCATGGATTAGTTCAGCCTCCAAACCAGCTGCTCCCCGAAGCCAGATTTGTTTCCCTGGAGAGAAGTATCTTGCCCCAGGTGTTGTAGGAAGTGAGTGGCAAAGCCAGGAATAGGACTAGGAGTCCTGACCCCTGCCCGGCATGCCTGGACTCCTTTCCAGGAATTGAGTTGGATGGGCAAAGGCACACCAGGGTCTTGAGATACTGGTTGTGGCAGCAGCTGGCTGCCACCATCCCCCTTCGCCAGCAGTGGGGATTGGGGACATCTCAGCAGGGTGTTTTAGCCCAGGTTAGGAGAGGTGTCTGCCTGTCTCAGCAGCAAGACCCCATGGGGCAGCGGGAAGCCCAGCACAGTTCTGCCCTGCCGTGTCCACCGCATCCCTCCTACCCTGGCTGCCTGTCCACCCTCTCCTCGGGGCTGCGGTGCCCATTGCTGACCATTAAAGCTGAGCTGGGATCCCCCCAGGGCCGTCTGCTGCTGACCCCAGTAGGGACTTTACTCGGGGCCTTCGGGAGGTGAAAGGTGAGCCGAACTCGGAACAAATTAGTTCCAAGCAGAAGTTCAGCCAGTTACTCCAGATTGGATCCTTTGATTTCCGCAACTCAGACTCCACTCAGTGATCTGTAATGAGTGACTCTCAGAAATCCTCACATTGCAGCACTTTGTTCCTGAGCTCACAAGTCAGCCCATTAATGGGTAAAGGAAAGGACCTTGAGTCTAAGAAGTCTCGGGTTCAGAGTCAGAATTATTTGACTTTTAAGCTTCCTTTATCTGAACTCCTGCTGACTTCTTGTTTTCTGAGCCTGTTTGAAAGCTAGAAGTTACATTGTTAAGATCAAACATTCTCTCTTTCCAGATGGAGTTACA